TGAAAAATAGAATATGTATTCAAACCTTGCTTTATTAAAAAAATGAGATAATATAACACTTTATTTGTCTTTTGCATATGAATAAATATGGTGAAATTTAATGACATAATTTATCGCTTTAAAAAAAAAAAACTCACACTATTTCGTTTGTATTCTTTCCATAGATATGGATAAATTAACGTTTTCATTTGTCATGAAGACAAATGGAAACAAGCTAACAAATACAAAATTGACAAAATGATTGAAATCGTTGTACCAATCCAGGTTTTGTTGATAGAAACTGGTCTGCAATATGGGCTACTAAAATCCACTTCATAGTTAGCAATCATCAATGCAGCCCGTTAGTAAACCATCAACGAAAAAGGACCATTTACAGGGAATAAATAGGGGCCTGAATTGTAAAATATTAGGTTTTATTAATTTTTTTTGTAAAATTACAAGATAAACTATATATGTACCTTTTGATAAATAAATAAATGGAGTAGTTAATTTGACAGTCAAAATATCACTATTCATTAAAACTTTTCCAAAACTTCTCTAGATAGTCACTAAACCATTGATGTATGAGATCCCAATTTACAAAGTTCAGTGACTTCCTGGGAAGCATTGACAAAGTTCAATGACTATTTAAGGAAGTTTTGAAGTTCAATGACCCCCTAAGAACTAGTTGCAAAATTCAGTGACTATTTAGAGACGTTTTAAAATTCAATGACCTCCTTGAAATTTTTGGCAAAGTTCAGAGACATTTAGGGTATTAACTCATATTTTTATAGAAGCATCTCAATTGTCGCATTGGCATGGCATGGCAAGAAGAAAAAGGTGAAAATGAATAATGAAAACTTTTCTTGTGTTTAGACAAAACGATAAGGGTCCGTTTGATTGCAAGGGTGAAAAATTGGTGGAAAGAAAATGAATTTCAGAGAAAGTAAGGGTCCGTTTGATTGTAAGGGTGGAAAATGGGTGGAAAAAAAATGTTTTACAGGGAATTGATTTTCCTAGAAAATGTTTTACTGGGAATTGTAATTAATTGTGTTTGATTGGTATAATTTTCCATGGAAAATGTTGAAAGTTTGGTATCCATTTGGCTTCTTTTTTTATGGAATTTGTCCATTAAAGTGATAATTTTTTCT